TACTCTGTCATATACGAAGTAATTCACGTTTTGAGTGTTTCCCTTGAAAGGCTAGTGGGGATTAAAAAAGGGGACGATGAAGTTCTTTTGCCTAAGCACGTTGCCGCCAAGCTTCCAGGAAGCATCCTGTGATCCACTGGACATCTTCCGTGTTATTCTGTAGAGAGGAGCTGCTGGTCTCTCTCGCTCCGAGCCGGACGCCACACCCCACACCCCGCACGTCACCTTTGTGTCGAGTGGTGGCCTCTGGAATGCAGAGTCACCCTTGCCTACATTAGCATGGCACTTAACAAAAGGTGAGTCGTCCTTCTGGTCAGGTCACCAGCTCTCTGTCGTTGCCGTGGTCACGGCTGACAGAGTGGAGATACAGCAGTTTTTTTTTTTTTGCTTGCATTTGAACAACAAAGCAGCAGTCACAGAATTCTTCAGAGGCTCTTCCAGCAACACCCGACCTTGTCCCTCTAACAGTATTAATTACTGATACGTTGTAACCCACGAGGTAGCGATTACAGCCATAATTATTCAATCATGTGACGCAGAGGCCACACCAGTGGCAGAACAGTAATTTTCTAGATGCTGAAACTGATGTTTGTTGATTCTTTTGCGGCAATGCGTTTTGTAATTAGATCAAAACCAGAGGAACAAATGAGAGATGATTCGATAAAAGAGTCTTCTCCCCGTCCCGACACACGTGAAAGACGGTCACAGAGAATTCATTTTACACCATTAATTACACGAGATCCCGGCGAGAAAATCAGGAACGTAGACTTTCTGTTTGTCCCTCAGTCTAAGTGTCATGGAGGCGAGGGTCTTTGGAGCCGGTCCTGCGTGTTGAGAGTGCGAGCGCAGGCGTGCTGCGGAAGAGCAGCCGTCTTCTCGTATCCGGAAAACCGCAGGCATGCGACTCTGTCATGCACATCACTGGCCTGCAGATAGAGGTGGCTGTCACAAGCACGAGTTCCGCTCTGTAAGGAAAATGTTACCTGCTGTAACCCATAAGTGCTTATTTACACCCCGCTGTACAGTGTCAGCACTGTATCGGCACCCCCTGTACAGTGTCAGCACTGTATCGGCACCCCCTGTACAGTGTCAGCACTGTATCGGCAAACACCTCCGCAGCGTGTCCGTGAAACAGCCGCTAAAAGCCCACCATGGCCCCTCACCGTTCAGCGTTTCCGTTTATTAGCAAATACAGCGACACTTGACATTTCTTAGATATATTTGACCAGTTTTATGCTGTTCTCTTAGAGTACTACGATATGATTTATTACATGTGACCACATTGTACGTCGCTTTCAACAAAGGTGGCTGCAAAATATGTAAATGTTTTAGGCAACGCGTACGAAATCTGCTGCTTTCTTGGTATGAATGGAGGTCAAGTCAACTCAAAACTCAAAAGTTGAGAGAGAAGTAAAACATTTGCCAAAATTCAGGACAGTATACCCTCCCAGGTGACACCTGTGATGATGCTCCACTTCTTTTAATTCAACGAACTTTGTCGGAAATCCCTCTAACCATTACAAACGTGACTATTTCAACAGTGATCGTAATGATTCAACTTCATAAAGAAACCTTTGCTGTCTGACTTGCTTTGTGAATGTTGATGCTTCAGAGTCTCGAGGAATGTGTAGGCATCTGCAGTGGCTCTTGGTGATGCAGAAAAGTTCAGAACTGTCTATATGGCTTGTAGGTATTTATGCAAACTGTTTCTGCAACGTGTAGCTCAGGTACAGAGCAGCGTAGCCAATGTTCTTATCACATCTAAGTCACATCTAAGTCACATAGTATGCTGCTATTTTGTCACTTCAACATTCATTATACTATATATATTAATGGCCCCTGTACACACACACACACACTCACACAAACACACACATATTTGAGTTTTATGGTATTTTTTCCACAAAACATAGTTCATTAATAGGTTATACTGCCCTCCTCTTGTAGCCGTACAGAATAAATGCAAGTGCTTTAACGTTTTATTGCTTAATAATGTGAAATGTGTCTTCTTAAATCATGATTTATCAACTTCCAAACCACATTTCATTTCATATTTCCTAATATTCTTAACATCACACACAATAGTATTTTTTTTTAGCATCTTGGTGTGCCAAAGTACAAGACTTAATTTTACCATATAGGTAACCGACGTCAAAATTAAAATTCAAATCTGAAGTACAAACAGTGGATATGGGGTAATACATGCACATTTAACATCTATTAATCCTAACAATTGGCTTAATGCAGTGGGTAATGCTCACTGCCTCGGGCCTCTGTTTACATACTGCATTCTTTTAAGCAATATAACAAGTGACACGCGGTGTACAAATTAACAACATGAACTCAAGCAGTCCCACTAAATAGGACTCAGGAATCGACTACACGCACTGGAAGGCTGTACAGGTTTGACGTCTTCCAGCGTTAGACTTTATTACTATTTACCCACATGTTCATCTTTGTCATCGATCATTGGAGCAGCAGGTGGCAGCACTGAGCATGGCTGTCACTCCATTCTCCATGCTGCAACCTCTCCATTCTAACCTTTCCACCTTAATGGACATTAGCTACACATAAAATACAAAGAAATATGAGATAAGCCTCAGCGGTTAAACTGTGACAGTAAGACTCTATTTTTTGCAAGTTACAGCATTTAACCAACACTGATCTAGTACTCTAACCTAACATACTCAACAGACAAAAAAAAACAGACAAATGCATACAGGTAAAGGAGCTATTGTGCTATTCAGAAATAGCAGAATAGCTTATATAAAAATGACTGGAATTGGGTGTGACATTGTTGCTTTGCTTTCAAACCACGAGATCTATAAAGAGAATTTATAAGAGCAATAATAAAGAGCGACACTATGTTTACAAGGCGCGTTGTGTTATATCACGGAATGTGGTGCAATAAAAAAAAAAAGTGATATATTTGATAATTCGACTTTCCCCAATAGGAAGATTAGGGAGGGCATTTAGTCGTTAATAATTAATTATCATTATTTTTATTTTAATGTAGCACCCATTGCAGTACAGTACAGTAGCACCTAAACAAAATATCTGACTGACAGTAGTTTGACTGAATGTTCACCTTGGCGAGTTTTTTTTTCTCACAATTCCAATTTTGCTAACAGGTGTCAGTTTAGAGTAACAATCTTCTCCTTTCAGATCTTAGGCACCACACGTGGATTATATTTAATATGTCATTAGCCTGCGGGTTAAATCATTCAACCCAAGGGCCAGAGATTAAAGCTACACCTCTTGTCTTCTGCACATTCTGATTCTCCCTTGTTAATCAACAGCTAATTTTGGCCTCAACAAAGACAGATCAAAAGATTACATCTGTTTTTTTCCAATATGACTTTTGGGGGGGTGTTTTTGCTAATGTTTTTATTTTACATTAAAAAGGTGGAAATATCCTTGACAGAGATTTGTTTTATGTAATGACAGATTTGAATTGTTATTCACAGACTCTGTTTTCTTGACTCCTTGCGAGTGCATTGTTTTTGAAGCAGTGAGGACCATGTTCATTGCTCCACGCACAGTGTCAATAAGCTTTTTTTTTTCACTTGTTTAATTTTTATTCTATTCACATTTTTGTCACAATGTTGGACTCCCGCTTGCACTAGAAAACTGTATTTACAGTTCTGTACCAACTAACATTCAGAAAGTAATATCTTATGCGTGCCTTTCTATTGTCTGCTTGGTTTAACAAATTAGATTAGATACGCGCCATAGACTTCCTATAGGGTCACGTTCATTCAAAATCTTAAAGTGGCTATATTTCATTGTTTGCTTTATCTTATGCATGAAACCTTTCAAAAAGTAGTTAGGTAATTTTAACACCCCTTCTTTATGTTTCCCCTGTTTTGTCGGTTTCCTGTTTTGATGTTTTCGATTCATGATCTGAAGCGGTGTTTATACCTCACCTAATCTTATTAGTGTGACCTGGTTTCGCAGATGCCTTTCTCAGGTGTGCACGGCTACCTTCCCCTTCTTAAGTTGTAGATTTCCAGCTTCAGAATGTGTTCGCGTGGTATATTTCCTAATTACCTTAATGTTTCATTTGGTGTGGAAATTGATGTTGTAGCTTCGCTGATTATCCAACCATATGTTTAATAACTCCAGTATTACAAAGAATTCTCCCTGAAGAGCAATTTCACGCATCCAGATTAAGGATAGCGAATGAGAATCTTCCCCCTATTATACATTGTAGGAAATCGGAGTTAGGTATAGAATCTCATGGAAAATAAGAGGGTAATATCACGTTTTTATAACTTTGGTGTGAGTCGCCTGCGTTCTCGTATTGCGTTGCTGTTGCGGATCTGGCCGCTGATCGTCCCCTCCCACCGCCCCCCGCCTCTCCGTTCACGGGGTGATATCAGTGTCATTTGTGTTGTGGTCAGGCTTCGTCAGAGTTGAAATTCGATCTGCTCGCTGTGGCTAATAGGCTCCAAGCTTGGTTGTGCGCTGCACGCCCTCGTCACCTGCGATCGCCGCTCCCCGCCTGTGTGCCAGCATGTGTTGTTATTAATTCCCATACTCGAGATATTCCGCCACGATAAATATCCTTTCGCTCGCGGTCCTTCGCCTGCCATATGGCGCGTGCTGGGTAATAAGCAACATTAAATTTTGCACATTGTAGAAACACTCTCAATCTCCCACACATTTCGAAGCGTAAATACACACAGTAGGCCATAGTTCAAATGATAAAGTTGTTCAAATAATATTATCCGAAAACACACACTTACCAACTGCTATATTTTTGTATATAAGATAATTTGAAGAACAAAAAATGTATTTGTTTCCCTTTATACTGAGGCATATTAAACTGCACAGCCAGTGCCAAGAGCCTGTATTTTGTGTTGTGTTTCAACAATCAGCTGTTTATCGAATATACGACTGACGTAAAACAATACAATCCAAATCTGCTTTGAACACACCGGATTGTCTCTTCTTCATAAAGCCCCCGACGACAGTAAACGCTGGTTGTTTTTTTACCGTTTACATACCTCGAATCACATGGTGCATTATTTTTATTCGCATAATATGGGTCCGTGGCGTGTGCGCGTTATACAGTAATAAATGCAGAGCCGCCTCACTCTAATCAAGCTGATTAAAAATTCCTGCGCGCACAGCCGGAAATCGCACCATCTTCTGCTTTCTTTCCAGTTTTTTACTTTTTATTTTTCGGGGTTTTGCGCTTTTTTTGCTAGGAGATCGGCCGTCACGGGAGGCTGTGCTGGCTGATTGGAAATGCGCTGCAAAGATCCGCTGGCCGGGGTGTTACTTTCTGTTGAAATGAGGAGAAAGAGCAGAACCCAGTCACTGCGAGCGCCGGAGAGGGGAGTGATGAGTCAATGCAACTAATAATTTAATGGGGACACGGAGAGGGGGACGGGAGGAAGACAGAGGAGCGCCGTCCGGGCACAAATAAAACCGGCAGAAAACATTCCCAACGCGGGGAGCTGTCAGGCATTTACACCGCGTCAATGCTGCTTCCAGAATCGGAAACTAAAACGGACTTCCCCCCTCCCCTTCTCATCTGTTCTGTAATAATCATGCATCGTCTTGATAAAAAGGCAGACGCTCCGTTTTTTTCCAACCCTGGACAGTAGAGAAGCTGAAGTACCGAACCGCTGGAGATCTTTCTAGCTACACAGCCATGCAAGTGACTACGGAAGATGGTTACCGGTTTATAAATGATAGGTTTTTAGTGTTTTGTTGAGTTCTGTTTCTTAGGGTTTGTTTCTTTTGTATGAGGCTTGGTTGTTTTCGGGGATGGATTTGCAGGCTGTGTGAACTGCATAGAAGTGTCCGACACAGCAGCATATGGCCGTGAATGTCCGTGTGTCTGAGATGTACGTGTATCGGAACTGTGCACATCTCAGACATGACCCGTTGTTACTTCGTAACATGGCGAGCTTTATATTTTCAGCCCGTTGGCACAGAGGCCAATTAGTGGTTTCGGTATAATGTGCATTATGCGTCTGCATCTGTCGCTCATCCATGTTGCTGTTTCTCAGCAAAGCTGAACTTCTCACTTGTGCTCGAACGCTCCGTGGTTTAGGGGAATCGCCTTTTCGGTCTTCAAATAAAGAATATTCATTTCCCGAGAAGACTTGACATCTGTTGTCATACCGACCTAGAAAGAAAACGCTGAAGTTTTTTTTTCTTCTTTCAAACGAACTTGAAGAAAGGCGCTTGGCACTCGGGCGGCTGTATATGCTTTCCAGTTCAGAAGTACTCGATTTCAGGTTGGTGTCGCTAAATTTGCGTCAAAATTGCTAAATTGTTCCCGGCTTTAAAATGTAACTTTCGTATTCTCCAGCTTGGACGTTTCCTCCATTTGCGCAGTGGCTATACTTTATTGCAATATCACTTCAATTGTGACTATTTCCGAGCACTTTATCATCCTTTTTCATTGAACCATTAAGGAATATGAACTGTAAATATAACCCCGCGTTCGAGTAAAATTGATTAATTTGTTATCAGTTTGTTGTTGTTGTTGTTGATGATGATAGTAATATTATCGATAGTTGCAGAGTCAGTAATGCAGCTCGGATTTTGTAGGTAGTGTCATGCCTAATATTCGGCCGTAGGCTGCTGCTGTCTGCATAGGAATAACAGACCGACGCACTCTGCACCTTACAAGTTAGTCAACAGCTTGTTTTTCCCCCCTCTTTTCTTTTTTTACCCCAAAACGATGTGAAAGCGGAGTATCTTTTGGTAATTAAACGAACCAAAATGTGCTACAGAAAAATCTGCAAGTCCAGCCCTGCCAGGTGAAGGTATGCCCAGGACACACTGTGTGTATGACAGTCCGTCATGCAGAAGCTATGTAAAAAGTTTTATGCTCTGTAAAGGTGGTGGTGGTGGGGGGTCTGGATGTTGGGCTAGCTGTATCTTTATGGGAGATGCTCTCCCTGACTTCCACCTCCTGTCCATTTGCTTGCACTCGACTGTAACATCACCTCCTCATTCTAAAAACAGGCCGTCATTTCCCCTCACTTTAATTTTCTATTGTGTTTATACACATACAGTAAAACATGTTGACGCTGTTCCTTTCAAATACCATTAAATGACTCACACTGTGACTACAGGACAGTACCATTGCAGTCAGATTCCTGTTTGACTGTAGGGGGTAGAATTTAAGGTCTGTGTCTTTTAGAACTGAGTAAGAGTAGAGCGGGTTCTTCCGCTGATTGTGCAAATGGTCTTGGGTCCTGACCGCATGGCAGTGTGGTGTGGGATTGCTGTACACAACTGGTGAGCGTGGTGGTGGTAAACAGTGGTGAAACTTGTGCGCACACTCGTGGAGGACAAATCTCTGTGAAATGTGCTGACAGGTACTTTTTCCTTTTAGATTTTCCGTTGTGTTTTTTTTTTTTCTTCTAAATAATAATAATAAAAAAGATTCTGTGCTTTAAAACCATTTTAGATAAAACAAAATATTTCGTATTTTGCAACTTTTTGAATAGCTGCAGTACAAATAGTAATTTAAAATATGCTTTTTAAAAATAAATAAAGGTCCAGTTCATGCTGTAAGAGCTTTTTTTTTACTGCACTGTTAATCTTGTTGAGCTTTTTGATGCCTTACCAGTATAATATCCCAGCACTGATCTCTGGCTACTGGAGTTGGAGCTGTGGGATTTTAGGCTGACGATCAGTTTACAGCACTTGTGTTACGGGAGACGTTCCCTTATATAGTCATCTAAATAATAGTTTTTTTGTTAAGGAGTGTCGTTTTGTCAAAATGACGTTTGGGTGGACTGACATGTATGGCCCTGTTTGGGAATTGGCAGGTGACTGTGAGCAGTGGTGCTGAGAATGATGGATCATCTCAGTGAGACCTGCCTGGGGAAGGAGAACTGCGAGCTGCCCAACAACATGGGGGAGGCCAAGGGCCCCCCAGCCAAGATGGCGCGGCTGGAGCAGAACGGGAGTCCCCTCGGCAAGGCTCGCCTTGGGAGCACCGGGCCCAAGATCCCTGGCGTCCCCTTGAAACCGTCCGGACACCTGCTGAAGATCTGCCACAAGAAAGGTAGCCGCCTGGGGAGCGATGGTGCCGCTGGGTATGAATGGACGGGGCTTCATACTGCGGCTCTGTGCCGCGCGTGCAGGTTAGGGGCCGTAGTGCAGGTTAGGGGCCGTAGTGCAGGTTAGGGGCCGTAGTGCAGGTTAGGGGCCGTAGTGCAGGTTAGGGGCCGTAGTGGCGCTCTGCGCCGCGCGTGCGGCTTAGGGGCCGTAGTGCCGCTCTGCGCCGCGCGTGCGGCTTAGGGGCCGTAGTGCCGCTCTGCGCCGCGCGTGCGGATTAGGGGCCGTAGTGCGGCTCTGCGCCGCCCGTGCAGGTTAGGGGCCGTAGACGAACTTAAAAGCCGAAATAAATAGATGCTATGCTTACGAAGCAGGCATGAAGCAGCGCAAACCCTTTGGAGAACTCTAGAAATTCTCGACATTATTTACTCATCGTGGTTTTTGATCTCTTGTTTATAGAACTACGTTTTATTTAAACATAGCTTATTTTATGTCTATTGGTCTGATTTGTAATCAGAAATTGATTGACGTTGGTTCATTACATCTTTGCACACTGTGCTCAAATTCCAGGCTCTGTTTCCCTGTATCGGTGTGCGGAATGTTTTTGTGAGGTCAGACATTTATTTCTCCCCTTTTCAGGAGTTATCTGTTCCACATTTAATTCTCTGTTGAGTACCGGTCTTATAATATATTAAAAAAAAATAAATAATAAAATCCATTGTTTTTGTCTGTTTCTCTCACACCCTGAATTCTCCGTAAGACCCCTTGATCGTGAGTTTGCTCATTTATGTTATGTATTTATTTAAAGTGAAAATGTTATGTTTTGGAAATCACAGACCTCAGTATGTTTGCTGAACTTTACAGCGGTATGTGTTGTGTGAGCGAAACCACATTTACCACAGTCTATTTTTTTTTTTTCCATTTGGCTGAAAACAAAGCACATATTGATTCGGAAAGGAACCTACACAGCAGTCTTTATTGTTGGATCTTTATCTATTAAAAATGGAAAAGCGGCACTTCAGCACATTCCTTGGCATCTGGTCCCTATTTATTGATTGTTTGCCAGGAATGTTTGGATCTTAAGAAAGCTGGAGGCAGAGTATTAAAACATAATTTATTACAGGCCCTCAAACAGGGTGCGCTAATTGTAGGCTACACAGCCAACAATTATGGGGTGGGCGTTGTGGATATTTAAAAATAAAATAATAAAAAACTATGTATCAAGTCTTAAACACAAACGAAAATCAGGGATACTTATGTGACATTTGTAGAGAACCACCCCCCCCC